ATATATATATATATATATATATATATATATATTGACATAAACTCGTAACTACAGTATTATTGATACAAACTAAAAAAAGAAAGAAACTGAATTATGTTTCCACTTCACATTCCTTTTCATTTATTGTAATTTTATTTTATATTTATAATTGTAACATTTTTAATTTTGAGGTGTTTAATTTAAGTATACGCTAATTATATGCTTAGTTGTGAATTGTTGTTATTAATAGTATTGTTTTAGAACTCTAGAGTTAAAGGACTCTCAGAGTTAAATTATTTTTTAACTAGTTGAGTTAGAATTAAGTTGGTTCGATTTCAAGGAGGTATATATAAAAAAAAAATTTAAGATGCAAACTTCAAAAGTTTATAATTTAAGAAATTTTGGAGAGAAGATCTCTAAATCCAAAATCTTTCTTCTCCCTTTTTCAAATTGAGAACCCTTCTCTTCTCCCCTTCTTACAGCCGATTCACTTGGCTAGTTGGAGATTAAAAGCTTGTAAAGTTAAGAATCTCAAGTCAGAGATCATATAGTTCTTCCTTCTCTTCTCCTCTCTTGGTTTGAATCGATAAGAGGTAATTGAAGCTTTATGTTGTTTGTTGAATTGCATGTTGATTTTGATGTTGGATTTCATCTAATTGTTGATTTCTTTAATTGGTGAAGGGATAAGATGAGTTACATTGATTTTTGGTTATTTTGAAGTTGTTCATGAGTTAAATATGATATTTTTTAGACATAATAGTTGCATGTTGTTTTTGAGGTTGGAAATGCGTCCTACATGTTGTATATGTGTTGCGTTTTTGTTGCATGTTGGAAAATTGTTGGTTTTCAAATGGATTAGACAAAAATCAGTTTTTGCATAAGTGCAAAAACTGATATTGCACTGAACATGCCTTCATGACGTCAGACGTGATTCAAAATTAGGAGTTTTCATTCTCTTGATGTCGAGCATAGGATTGGTAGTGTTGGACGTGAGAAGATATAATTCTTTGATTTGGCCAGGCTAGACGTGAGTTGAATGGCATCAGACATGAGGAAAGAGAATCGTTTCTACCTAAATTAGTGTTAGGTGCCAATGGAGTGGGGCTGAGTGCGAATCAACTAAAGGCTCTCTACTTGATTGGGGTCAAGCATGGGTTTTTTCATGCCAAGCAGGAGAGAATGAGAGACTCTCTGCCTCAACCATGTCGAGCACAAGTAGTTTGGTGCTAGTCGTGAGCGAGACGTAAAATTCTCTATCTCAATGGCACGTGTGAGTTGCTTGATTTAAAACATGATGTTAAGTTGATTGAATGATTGATGAATATGATGAATTGTTGTGTAATGAATGTTGTATAAGGATATTTCATCATGCATTAGTTTGAGATAATGTATGATGATGTTTATGTTGTTAAGTTGTAAGTTGATAAACGATGATGTTGTATAATTATATGATTATATAGTTGATCAAGATGTTAAGTTGTTAGGCATGTGGTATAGATATATGTTTTTATTAAGATACATAAAAGTTAGAGGAGAGTAAAAAATGTTTTAGAAATTAAAATGTCTCATTGTGTATATATAAGTTGTGGTAAAGAGTCTAAGTTGTAACCCTTAAGTAAGTAAGCTAACTTTTGAATGAATAATTATTTTAAGTTGTTTCCTTTAAATTTTATGTGATATTCATATGTGGGAAAAGTCAAAACATACATTTATAAAGTGACTAATCGAGTAAGATACAAGATCAAAAAATTAATTCTTAACTAAGTATTGAAAGGATATAGTACTCAAAAGTAATCGATAGACTAACTCCATATAAAATTTAGTGTTGCAAGCTAATACAACTAGGAGTGAAAAAAAAATACAAAAGAATTACACCAAATTTAAATCCAAACCAAACTATTTTAAAAAACCATATCCAAATTAAAAAAAAATTGAATCAAACTTATTTTCCAAAATAGCTTTTATAAAAACTGAAGCTATTTTTAAAATAGTTTGGTGCATCGTTTTTTGACAACCGACAAAATCATGACATGTCTTTAATGCAAGCAACAACCATCTATAAGATAATTATAGAATCATATTTTCTCAATGTTATGGTACACTATGCAAACAACAGAGGAAAAAACTCACTGGTCAACATCAAATACAAATGGATTTTTTTTTAAGTTCCAAATTTGCTGATAGAGACACTTGCGAGCAAAATTGAATTAAAACTGGAGCACTATGGCATATGGAATTTGCTCACAGTTTTCCCTTATTATTTGAAAGAAAAGTAGCCAAGATTCTTAGATCTTCAAATATATAAAGGCATACAATTTTCAGAAGTTAATAAAATAGTATGTAACCATGTTTTATTAAGCATATTTCACATGGCTACTGAAATAGCTATTAATTTGTTCAAAATTTTGAAGAGGAAAAAAATCTTAAAAAATAATGATTTAAAATCCTAATTTTTAAAATCTGATTGGTAGACATCTATTGAGTATTTTTTAGGGTTGAGTTAGACTCCAATCTACTATTCTAAGATGGTATTAGAGTTATCCTAGATTCTTAAAAATGGGTCACCTACTATTGATACATATCTCATATGCATGAGGGGTGTATTGAGGAAAAAAAGAAAAATTCAAGTGTCGCTAATCCTAGATCATTAAAAATAGGTCACCCACCATTTATTCACATACTAAGCCTAATAGTGCTGGACGTGAAGGGGTGTATTGAAAAAAATCCAAGTCTCACATCAACTAGAGATTAGGTAATTGAATAGTATATAAGTAGAAAACAACGCTCACCTTATAAACCGGTTTTGTAGGATTGAGTTAGGCTCCAATCCACTATTATAAGAAGTGTAAATACCTAAAGAAAAATAAAACAAAATAAAATAAATTATACTGATAACTCTTAAAATTCTGTAAAATTGTAAAAACAACCCTACTTTTTCTACTCATGCAATAATTCTCTTAATTATTAAAAAAAAAACCATTACAATAACATTTTTTTAGACATTACATTAACTCCCTATTATTTAAAAAAATTATATTATAACACTTATAAAATAGGTTATTGTAAACGTCAAAAAAGTAAGAAGTACTCATACAATTACATAAAACTTCATTCGATGTTAGTACAATTTACTCAATATAATAAGTAATTAACATAATTAGTAAGGTAATATAACAAAAAACTATTATTGTATTATGTTATAATTTACATTTCATTTTTTTTTATTTTGTCCCTATTATAATAAATTTTATCGAAATATTTTTCCACGTGAAGGAAGAGGTATTATTTTATTTTTATTAGCTGAATTTTTAAATCGTCACTATTTGAACCGATAAATTATTTGGTAAGATAGTTTGAACAACGTGATGTTTATAAATTTACTAACGAAAACAAATTTTCTAATAACCAATTGAATAATTAACGATCAGAAAAAGACAGTTACTTTGTAAAAAAATTTAATTATGAAATTAATTGATGTTAACTAATTTTCTTAATTAATATAAATTAATTTATTTTTATAATTAATATCCAAAGGGTACTCTTTTAAATATTTTGATTAATTAAAATTTATTAAAACAAAAATTGTGAATTGTACTCCATTTAATGAGCTTTATACATATGTAGTTTATAACAAATGTTACTTAAAAAACACGTTGCTATAAGTGTGGATGAAAAAGTGCAATACTCATTCCTACGTGAGAAATTAAAACATAAAAAGAACAAAACGAAAGAGGTAGATTGCGAAAGAAAAGAGATCCATCTAGCATGGTGTTACATACAGTCCTTTATGGGCCACACACAAACACTACTTCACACCACAGACACAATACAGAAAGATAATTAAGACACGACACGACTCAGGGTCAGGGTCCGAAAATACTAGTCCTAGACAACATAACAGTAACATATAGTAAGTGGTAACAGGTTGCAGATAGTGAATTAATTCCAGCATATGGTGCAACCGCCAAATTAAAGTCCATATATGGTCACCCATGACTAAGCGGTTATGATAATAGTATAATTAATAAGAAAACAACTACCACCGCTACCTTCATTAATATGAAGAGTAAATGTTGACAGCAGAAGCAATAGAAAGCATGACCACTGCTATTAGGTCTGACATGAGTGCAGGTCTAAGCATGTTTCCTTTAGAGGCTTTCTGGTTCTCAGACACCGCTGTTGTGGTCGCAGTTGTGGTTGTGGTTCCCACCGTGGAAGACGAATTGCTTCTCGACGAAGCATTCCTGAAGATGGCAGCATCCGGAGAGTTTGGAGATAGACCCAGAAGCTCTGCATGCACACGTCTTCCGTTTTAGTTAATTGCAATAAAACTATTTCATACCCTATCCTTCATTATAACTTAATTTATGCCAAGAATAAATATTCATACAATAACAACCAAACTAATTAAAGCCACGGCCTTCTACTCATTTTGCTTGATGCTTAGATAAATTCCTTTACTACAGGCAACTACTTTAATAATTAGTCAACTAATTAATTATTTATTCCCGCCAGTCAACTACTTTAATAATTACAACCACTAATTATAATTTTTAACTCTTATTTAATTATTTCTAATAAACTCTTTTTTTACCTATATATATAAAAAAAACACTACCTGTGTTATTGAGAGAGAAAAATTAAAAATCCTGTGTAATCTTTAAGATAAATCTATTAATCCATTAATAATATAAAGGGAATAAGTTATGTTTTTTCTTCAAAACTTTCTTTCAACATATTTTTATATACAAGTTTTATAAAATAAAATTATAATTATAAAAATATTAAAGAAATAAATATAAAATTTATTGTTTATTATGTTAATATAGAAAATATAATCTATTAATTATTAATAATATAAAAGAAAAAATTCTGCAACAATTTTTTTTCTCTAAAAAACTCTTAACTTCCAATTCTCTCAAAAAACTTGTTATATAAATGTTTATTATAAAAATAAAATAAACTAATACAAAAGTATCATAAAATATTAATCACATTAATTTTAAATCATTATAGTTTTAAAATAAAAATAATTATAAAATTTTCATAAAAATAATTATAATTATGTGCTAAAAAATAATAAATATTAACAATAAATAATACATTAACAAAGTGAAAAAATTTATAGTAATTTATTCTCTCCAAAGTATCATAAATATTAATTATCAAAATTATTATTATTATGTTAATATAAAAAATAATTAAACATAAATACATAAAAATATTGATATTTTTAAAGTAAAATATTCAAAATTTATAACTCTAAAAATTTTCATCTAAAATAATATTCTTATAAAATAAAAACAATAATACATTAATATTATAAATCGTAACACCCTAAAACGTTAATTACATTAATTATTAATTATTTCAATTCTAAAATGAATTTAAATAAAGAATTACATATAAAATATAAAATTAATATGTAAAAAAGAAATAACTTCTTCTACAACTATTTTTCTCAAAAGTTTATTAATTACATTAACTTTAAATTACTACAGTTTTAAAATTAATTACAAGATATGTATTAATGTTATTTATAACTAAACTTTCAATAATTTATAATAAATTAATATATATTTATTTTTAATATTAATTTTGATTTAATATTAATATTGTTATAATTCATATCTATTATTATTATTATTATCAATTTTTATTTATAAAATTAATTAAATATCATTTAATCTAATTTATTAAAATAAACTATATATCACACGAATATTAATCTAGTACATAGTAATACATCATATACATGTGATTATAATTAAGAAGCTTTATATATATTGAGAGTGTATATAATATATTATTTATGATGGATTATAATTAGAATAAAATAGATAATGATGTTATGTTTTAGGAATGGAAGAAAAGATTTACTTGGACAGTTGGTGGTGCTGGCATTCTTGAGGTTGCAAGCAGTGGGGAGCTGAAGGAGCCTGGCCTCTTGAATGCCCATGCTTTTCACCTCAGGGCTGCCCTTATGAGTCTGTTGGATAGCGAAGCACAAGCACTCCGGATTGCTCGTCTTTATCTCCGACGTCGCCTCGCAGCAACCCTTCGTCGGAACCGCCGCCTGCCCCGTCGCATAGTTCATGCACGGAATCACTTTCTGGACCAGAAGGTTGCATTTCGCTGCCAAATTCTCTGCTCCTTCCGATTCCCCCACTGTCACCAACACAGCCACACACACAAACACAAACGCAAACACCCCTCTCATCATCTTCTTCTCCCAACACCCAATAACTGCATCTCTTCCGTTTATAGCACAACTAATCAATGTTCGCACAGTTGCCTGCACAACACTGGCTGGTCGACTCCATTTAATGTCAGAATAAATTTTGGCCACGTGCCACTACCTAAACGGATTTCAAATTATTATATTTTTATTTTATTTTTATAAACTTTTTTTGTGTTGCATTACTTTTATAAAATTATTATTAATTTTATTTATTTCTATTATTAAAATATTTGAAATGATGCTTGTTTTAGAATATACAGGGATCGAGTACCATACTCCGAATTACTATATTAACTTTTTTAATGATTAATTTTTATTTTTATATCAAGTTCTAATGAAAATAATTTAATCTGAAATTAATAATATCAATTATTGTGATTTTTTAATAATTTATTCCAGATAAAATATGGCTTTGTACTGTTTAAAGAGTAATGTGATTCAGGAACATTAATTTATCATTTTTAAATATTTCATTAACATTTCTCATTTATATCTAATATTTTCTTTCTTTATATCATATCGCCTTATCATATATATATATATATATA